GAAACATAGTGGGCAATGTTAATGGTCAGATGAAAAACATGGTAGGCAATGGTAAAGGTCAGATGAGGAACATGGTAGGCAATGGTAAAAGTCAAATGAGAAACATGGTAGGAAATGTTAATGGCCAATTGCGAAACATGGTAGGCAATGTTAATGGTCAGATGAGAGCCTTGGTAGGCAATGTTAATGGTCAGATGAGAACCAACGTAGGAAATGTTAATGGTCGGATGAGAACCAACGTAGGAAATGTTAATTGTCAGCTGAGAACCGTGGTAGGCAAAGTTAATGGTCAGACTAGAACAATGGTAGGTAATGGTAAAGGTCAGATGAGGAACATTGAAGGCAATGAGGAACATGGTAGAAATGTTAATGGCCAAACATGGTAGGCAATGTTAATGGTCAGATGAGAATGTAGGAAATGTTAATGGTCGGATGAGAATCATGGTAGGCAATGTGGTAATGAGTCATGGTAGGCAATGTTAATGGTCAGAAAACATGGTAGGCAATGTTAATGGTCAGATGAGAACATGGTAGGCAATGGTTAATGGTCAGATGAGAAACATGGTAGGCAAATGTTAATGAGAGCCATTATATGCAAAGTTTATGGTCAGATGAGAACAATGGTGGACAATGGTAAAGGTCAGATGAGGAATATGGTAGGCAACGGTAAACGTTAGATGAGAAACATGGTAGGCAATGTTAATGGTCAGATGAGAAACATGGTGGGCAATGTAAATGGTTAGATGAGAAACATGGTAGGCAATGGTAAAGGTCAAATGAGAAACATAGTGGGCAATGGTTAAGGTCAGATGAGGAACATGGTAGGCAATGGTAAAAGTCAGATGAGGAACATGGTAGGAAATGTTAATGGCCAATTGCGAAACATGGTAGGCAATGTTAATGGTCAGATGAGAGCCTTGGTAGGCAATGTTAATGGTCGGATGAGAATCATGGTAGGCAATGTTAATTGTCAGCTGAGAACCGTGGTAGGCAAAGTTAATAGTCAGACTAGAACAATGGTATGTAATGGTAAAGGTCAGATGAGGAACATTGTAGGCAATGTTAATGGTCAAATGAGAAACATGGTAGGCAATGTTAAAGGTCAGATGAGAGCCATTATATGCAATGGTAATGGTCATATGAGAAACATGGTAGGCAATGGTAATGGTCATATGAGAACCATGGGAGGCAATGTTAATGGTCAGATGAGAACCATGGTAGGCAATGTTAATGGTCAGATGAGAAACATGGTGGGCAATGTAAATGGTTAGATGAGAAACATGGTAGGCAATGGTAAAGGTCAAATGAGAAACATAGTGGGCAGTGTTAATGGTCAGATGAGAAACATGGTAGGCAATGGTAAAGGTTTGATGAGGAACATGGTAGGCAATGGTAAAAGTCAGATGAGAAACATGGTAGGAAATGTTAATGGCCAATTGCGAAACATGGTAGGCAATGTTAACGGTTAAATAAAAAAAATGGTAGGCAATGTTAATGGTCAGATGAGAGACATGGTAGGCAATGTTAATGGTCAGATGAGAACCAACGTAGGAAATGTTAATGGTCGGATGAGAATCATGGTAGGCAATGTTAATGGTCAGATGAGAACCAACGTAGGAAATGTTAATGGTCGGATGAGAATCATGGTAGGCAATGTTAATGGTCAGATGAGAATCATGGTAGGCAATGTTAACGGTTAAATAAAAAAAAATGGTAGGCAATGTTAATGGTCAGATGAGAGCCTTGGTAGGCAATGTTAATAGTCGGATAAAAATCATGGTAGGCAATGTTAATGGTCAGATGAGAACCAACGTAGGAAATGTTAATTGTCGGATGAGAATCATGGTAGGCAATGTTAATGGTCGGATGAGAATCATGGTAGGCAATGTGAATGGTCGGATGAGAATCATGGTAGGCAAAGTTAATGGTCAGATGAGAACCAACGTAGGAAATGTTAATGGTCGGATGAGAATCATGGTAGGCAATGTTAATGGTCGTATGAGAATCATGGTAGGCAAAGTTAATGGTCAGACTAGAACAATGGTAGGCAATGTTAATGGTCAGATGAGAACCATGGTAGGCAATGTTAATGGTCTGATGAGTACCATGGTAGGCAATGGTAAAGGTCAGATGAGAGCCATTATATGCAAAGTTTATGGTCAGATGAGAACAATGGTGGACAATGGTGAAGGTCAGATGAGGAATATGGTAGGCAAAGTTAATTGTCAGATGAGCAACATGGTAGGAAATGTTAATGGTCAGATGAAAACCATTATAGGCAAAGTTAATGGTCAGATGAGGACAATGGTGGGAAATAGTAAAGGACAGATGAGAACAATGGAGGGCAATGGAATAGGTCAGATGAGGAACATGGTAGGAAATGTTAATGGTCAGATGAGAACCATGGTAGGCAATGTTAATGGTCTGATGAGTACCATGGTAGGCAATGGTAAAGGTCAGATGAGAGCCATTATATGCAAAGTTTATGGTCAGATGAGAACAATGGTGGACAATGGTAAAGGTCAGATGAGGAATATGGTAGGCAAAGTTAATTGTCAGATGAGCAACATGGTAGGAAATGTTAATGGTCAGATGAAAACCATTATAGGCAAAGTTTATGGTCAGATGAGGACAATGGTGGGAAAATGTAAAGGACAGATGAGAACAATGGAGGGCAATGGAATAGGTCAGATGAGGAACATGGTAGGAAATGTTAATGGTCAGATGAAAAACATGGTGGGCAATGTTAATGGTCAGATGAGAAACATGGTGGGCAATGTTAATGGTCAGATGAGGAACATGGTAGGCAATGTTATTGGTCAGATAAGAAACATGATGGACAATGTAAATGATCCAATGAGAAACATTAAAGGAATGTTAATGGTTGGTTAGAACCATGGTAGACAAAGTTTTTTGTAATAAGATCATTGAAGCTGTTGAGGCAAGATTTGTTATATTCTATACTGTAAGATAATTTGTTTAAGTAAATTATTTTTTGGAAATTGTACTCAGAGAGCTGAATAGTAGATATGATTAATTTTCATATTGTTCAATATATCAACATTTTCCAGATGTGAGCAAAGCGTAGGAATATCATGTGGACGAAAAACTAAACATTGCTCAGCAACAATGTTTATATAAAATTCTTGTCTTTTTCAATAACCCTATGTCATGAATACATTTCTAATACTTGTGTAAAAAAATCAATAGAAATACATGGACATATTATGATGAAATAAATATGTTTAAAGCATACTGTACCCTCTGTTTGTGTATATTGTAAGATATCAATGAAGAAAATGTTTATTTTCCAGCAGAGTTGAACAAATTACAAATATAAGTTTGCCTATATCCATATTAAAATATATTAGACTGAATTTTGAAAAATATCTCATTACATATCTAATGAATGAAATCCTTATAGTATCAAACTTTTCAGACTCACTAGATAACATGCATAAGGCACCTTTATTTAGCCTAGGAATTCCAGAATGCTTTGTGTATAGCACATGTAGTTGATGAAAACATGAACAAACTGCATCCTGCTGGATTCTAGGTGAATACTGCTGAGTATTGTATTGTAGTATTGTTAAAAGTATACCATTACAGTGTTACAATGACATAGATATTTGTCATATATTCCCCTTTGCATATGATCCAGTTGTACGAGAAAATGCAGTCCAATCAATGATAAAAATTAAACCAATCTCAATGTGTCATTATATGTATATATATATATATATATAGCTTTTCCCCATATTTTGAAACCCTCTTCATTTTGTTGATGCAGCCTCGTTTGCGATTCGCTTTGTTACAGTACTAAAAAGTGCTAGATTGCACCATTTTCAGGAAAGAATTACCCCAGTCAATCATCCAACTTGAAAACAGGAAAAGATATTGAAGAGCAATGCATATTTATAAGAGAAAAATATATTTCATTAAGTATAAGTTCATCAATCAGACATGAATCCAACATGTCACCATCCTTTTAAAAAAACATCATTTAGAAGTGGTTTTGTTTAATCTGGAAATCACATTGGATTGACCCAAAATGATTTTTTTTTATATACAAAAGAACAATAAACAAGGAAACTTTTCGACTGCAAAATTTTATTACAAACCAATTAAAAATTTGATCAGAATGTACAAAAATGTATTTAAACAATCATATAAAAATGTCTTTATTCAAATCAGTAATCAAAATTGTTTTTGATGCAAATTTTTTTGATTGAAATATTAAAATCAATGTTTGATCATTTCTAAATCAAAGTCTAGTCTAATAGAGATTCCAAATTTATTTCTTCGTCATTTTTACCACAAAATATAAAATATAGATAAACAAACCTGGAAAAACTGTGAAATTGTGTGGAAAATTTGCAGCTGTTCACAAAAATAAATGAGATGTGTTTGGGATAATATCATATAAGGTATATAAAAATATTAACTGTTTAATACAATTTACTTACTATAAACAATACCAGAACTATCTACCTTTATCTTGAAACACATCACAGAAAAATGGCAAAAATTGGAATGTTTTTTCTCCCAGCTAGTTTTCACAAATATGTTAATGATAAATGTAATGTCTTCTACGACTGACAGTTTCTATGCGTAGATCATATGCATATACAATGGAGTTGATCTTATGTACAAAATTGTTAACTTCTTACTATCAAATAATGTCATTTTGTTTGTAAAAACATAAAGGAAAATAAGAAAATAATGCATTATCCCCCTTGATCAATCTTACATTTCTCAAAATCAATTGCTCACAACGATAAAAATATAAATCTATGTATGATGTTACCCATATCAATGCATAATAAAAGTATTCAAATGGAAGACAAACTTTATATAATGTCTTAAAATATGACATCACACAATCATGACCAGAAATATACTCTGAATATACAATGTACACCAAAGTTAAGTTATAATTTTGCAGCAAATATCCCTTTTATAAGAAAAGATATTCATTATCTGAAAAAATATAAGGGTGCAATACTTTCAAATACATCTCTATTATATTTTGTACAAAATTAAAAGTCTTCTTATGCAGAAGTTGGTGAGCATGGGTTTGAGAAAGAGACAATCTGTTGTTATTCACATCTAGAGCTCCACAGGTCTTCCAGTGGAATCTGATTTCCCTGCAATAAAAAAGAAGAACCAATTTACTATTAAGGATGAATGATGATTGAAGACATTTAATAATCCAGCCTTTTTAAAAGTGCAAGGAAATTCTGAAACATGTATGTGTGCAATATTGCATTTCGATATATTTTTCAAATAGATACAACTGATAAATCATTTTGTCAATAAAGATATTAAAAATATGTCCTATCCTTGATTAGATCTTTTACTAATTTTTAAATACTTTAATATTCACTAACAAATGTTTATAATAGTAAGGAGTGAGCAATATGGCTTAGGTTCTGCCCAATTTCATTTATTAAGTAAAACCTTAACCATAAAATACTGAAACTAGAAAAACCAGGAGGGAGCCTCTAAAACGATTTGGACTCTCCAATAAAAATCACTTCAGAGCTAATCCCCACTGCTGGCTGCTGTGGGCATGCTTATAAACTTTCTTTTAAATACAGTTTCATATTTGTTCTTTTTTTATATATGGCTGGCACATCAAATAGATTCCAGTGTATTACTACAGTACTCTCCAAGAAACAGGATGTTCTCATCTGCTCTGCACAAGTTATGTTCAGAAAAGAATGAGGGATTTACAACCAGATTACACTAACCAGGGTCACTAAAACAGCAGCACCATTCCTTCTTGGAGAGCAGTCTGTCTTTGTCTGTATCACAAGACTCAAGCAATGGTGTAATACACTTCTCTTGATGGATGTCCTCAATGATGGTCAGCTCGGAGGTATCCAGGTAGGCGTTCTTATCTTTGTCAAGTGTTCGACGCTCCCACATCACAGACGCAGGACACTTACACTGGCCAACTACAACAGGAAGGCCAATTTGATTAGAGCAGATTATGTAAAACTTATAATACTTTAATCCGAGACAAAAAAAAAAGCTAAAGATGCTCTCATCTGAGTCAAAAAAAAGCTTTAAAGTATACTTCAATGAAAGTAATCTCAAGGCACTTAAACAAAAGTCAATTTGATAAAGCTCAATTCACTTCAGAAGGCAAGTAAAGCCTAAGGCAGTCAATCTTGCTAAAGCAGTGCCCAAGACACTTTGGAGTCAGATACACTGTACAAAGTAATGCTCAAGATCCCAAGTGAGGTCTCTAGCAATGGAAAATAAGAATGTTTCTTGTATAGTTCTTACCAAACTGGTAAATGTATATTTTTTGCCTCATCCTTGGTAATATGTGAGAATTGCACCATCCTTCTTAATATTATTAGTGGGAGTTTCATTTTCACCTTGAACGGTGTGAGCTTAAATTAATAAATCTAATAAAAGGGACGAAACACTTGGTGCTTAACTTTGTCACACAGAAATATAACTATGCAGATCAATATGTGAATATATTATTTTCAAGGTAAACCAACTTGTTCTGAAGTCTCTAAAATGCTTTGGTTTCCAGGACTTGGAATGGTTTCTTTTGAATTTTTTACTCCTGTGTTCTTTCTTCTGTGTGTGAAGTATCGCAAACCAATCATTCAATCGTTGTCTGATATCCTCAACTTTGTTGGTACACTCTGAAACATGTTTACAACAATGGTTTAAAAAAGATTATTACAGAATTATTTGTTTGTTGAAATACAGCTCCCAAAAAATTACTTTTGTTTACTGGAGGATGCTTTTGAAACATGTTTGGGAGACTGCCACTTTGATGGAAATATATCTTGCTAGCAAAGGGTTACTGCACGATCATTCAACTCTTATGTAGTAATCTAATCATGACACTTGACTAGCGAAGATGACAGAATTTGAACTTATGGAAACAAAGACTGGACCTAGTTAAACTCTCATCAATGTTATGGCAAAGCAGAATAACAAATCACTGAAAGCTGTAATTGAGACACAACTCAAACTATCGACAACCACTTCAGAGTCTATCACCAACAGACAAAATGTTATTTTTGTCACTTCACTTAAATTCAAATAATAAGACATTTCAGGCCTTTTTTTTTTAACAATTTTTTAATAACAATAAATCATATAATTACAGGAAGAAAACTTTCTTTACATCATCAAAAATTTATTGAAGTAAGGTGATGATATGATGAATTTCTAGTGAAAAGAAAATTGTAACAGAACAAATGTTTCATATATTGATTTTGAACTCACCCGGATATTTTCTGCTGATTTCTGACTGTCGTCCTTCTCCCAAATGCATCAGTTCCTAAATAAAGTAAGCAATATTATGTACATCTTTATAGTATAGGTCTAAAGAGGATTAAAGATACTTTACTTAGCAATCAAGTTTTGTGATTTCTTACAATTTCTTCAATAAATTAAGCTGAAAAGCTATGATTAACACATATCATTGATCTGACAAAATTTAATTTGACAATCAAACACTACTGAATACTTGACTGACATCTAAAATGACAAATAAAAGCATTGTTATTGTCACTCAAACTTACATCAACGGCTTCCATGTTCTCAATAAGTCTGTGCCTTGTTACGAAATCATTACCATTTTTCTGTAAAACAAACAAAAAAGCAATGATACTTACATCCATAGTTGAAAATTTGTGTTGATGAGAACATGTGTTGAGAATTTGAATTGATGAGAATCAGTTTTGGTGAAAATTTGTGTCATTGACAACCTGCATAAATAACAACCTGGATGATGTGCACCTGTATTGATGAAAATCTGTGTTAATGTGAATCTGTGTTAATGAGAATCTGTGTTAATGAGAACCTGTACTGATGAGAATCTTTGATGATGAGAACCTCTGTTGATGAGAATCTGGGTAAATAAAAACCTGTGTTGATGAGAATCTGGGTAAATAAAAACCTGTGTTGATGAGAATCTGGGTAAATAAAAACCTGTGTTGATGATAATCTGGGTAAATTAAACACCTGTGTTGATGAGAATCTGCACTGAAAACAATCTGTGTTGACAAAGCAAACAGCCTTACTTTAGCTTTCTTTATGGCCATTATTTTCTTGTGTCTGATGTTCTGAGGACGCTCATCCAGCTCATTTACCCTTGTCTCCAGGCGACCAAATCGCTCTTTCATCAGACGACTGTGGTGTCTGCTGTTCTTCTTGTGATGTCCTTTGAACTTGGATAACATGTGACTGCAAAATATAAATAATAGCAATGATTTGAAACTGGTGCTGACAGAAATTTGTTGCCACAACCTACAAGAACAACCAATGAAAACAATAGCTACAATAAAATGATAAATACATGTAAATACATGTTTGATATACTAGTGAAGTATTTACTTATACCAACAAGACCAAAACATGCCTAATTAAAAAGTATTACACATAATTTCAGCAATGTCTTACTGTAATATATCACTATCACACCTGAATACAAACAAAAGGGAAATTTATTGTATAGTTAAAGAATTACTCTCAAGTGTTTCATTGGCTCATAATTATTTGTAACTGGTTAGCTTAACAATCAAAATGAAGCCTGTGGCTAAATCATGAAATGACACAAACAGCCAAACGGTTCCTTCACCAACATCATTTGATAAAAAAGATCCTGGAGGGATGAGGGATATTGGTGCCCATCATTGCATATTACTTGTTCTGAGAAAATTTGATATTTTTCCTTTTTCATCTTTTCTTAGTATATGTCAAAAGTGAATGAATCCTTGATATTATTCCCAAAGACAATCACATAGTGAGAGTGAGAGTGCAAGTCTTCCAGATTATTGACTGAAAAAAGTAATAGTGATATGCAACAAAGATAAATTTTGAACATATTTGAAATACAGTTCTTGTGATCTTCTGGAAGTTGGTTTTGTTGACAAAATATCAATAGTTTATCAGTTTAATCAAGGTTCCGTGCGTCAACTTAGGTCAATATTTAAATTTACTTATTGGATTATTGGAAGGTTCAAGTGAAGTCATACATATACATCTGACCATCAAGATGACAAATTCCCCAGAACCTCCCCCCCCCCCCACCAATCCATCTACATGTGTTACCTAATGCAGTCTTTCTCTTATACACATGATATGTTTTTGAATGATAAATTGCATGCACATAATTACCATGTCCATTTAGAATCAAGAATTAAAACAACAGACATACCGTCTCTCCATTTTGGTTATTTATAATGATAAATCACCATTCAACATTTTATACACAAGTTTGCTATTCTCATTCTGTAATGTTTGTAATATGTCTGTATTTATCCAGCGATAAACAAGCACATGGTTTATAAGCCAAACAATACATATATTGCTGCATGATTGTATCCTAACTGATTAGAAGTTATACTATCCTAACTGATTAGAAGTTATACTATGAAAATGTTATGTAAATGTATGGAAACTTTTATGAACATCCTACAGAAACTGTAAATTATTATTATGTTAATTCATTTTCGTTTATGGTGTTAAGCATTCTAACATCTTATAATGAAGGGCAACAGTTAAATGAATGAATCATGCCAGGTTCCATGAGGTACTTAGATTCAAGCCTAAAACATACACTAAAGACAATGTACTCTCAGTAACTCAAATCTTTCTGGTGGATAAATATCAACTCAAAAATAAAATGAATAATTACAAAGATTTAATGATAATTTCTGTCAAATATTGAGCTTAGATATTAGAAGTTGTCCTACAAAGTACCACAGGTAGGCAGAAATATGTGTCTATTAGTTTTTGTTTACATGTATTTAGCCTAAATATGTCAAACAATAGAACAGATGACTAATAATAGAACCTTCATATTCAAAACATACAAGCACTGACAGTTTAGATTACATCATCAAATGACAGATGAACTTGTATTCATTATTCGATGTACCATTTTGAAAACTTTGGAAAGTCAATATATAGACACAGAACCATGTCCATTTTGCATACAGCGGTCTTTCTCACATGGATGAACACTCAACACAAAAACCAATGTAATGCTACATCTTGTTAGAAAAAAAAAGGAAAAAGAACTAGAAAAATGGGAGAAAAGACAAAGCTACCTTGTCAAGTCACCATTTATAATATCAAGCAATGGGGACAAAGGGTATAAGTCTTACAGGGAAGAAGATCTCTATAGATAATAAATACAAATGTAGTACATTTATTTAATATTTTTCAGTTCTCAAAAAAATGAAGGTTAATATAATAGCTATCTCTCTTGCAATAAGTCAACCCATGTCCCTCATTTTTTTAAAAACTGTTCTAGTTAAAAAGCTGACACCTGTTGATGAGAAGGTACAAAATACAAACAATGGGTGTGTCTTAGTTTTACTGTGATAAAGATTATGCAGAAGATCATCTATACATGAATGTTTACAATACATGTGATGTGATGAAGCCAGTTACAAGCTGGTTTAAACATGTACAACCTTATACACAGAGAAAACTTTCAATTTATTTTCTAAAAAAAATCATGCATAAATTGGAATTCTAAAGCTCCAACGAACATATCTAAAATCAAATTCTATTTATGTGTCTACCTTGTAGTATGTATACCATGGACAATTTAATTTGTAAGTATGGCATACCTATATACAGGTATATATACTGGTTAGCCAATATAAACATGCAGGTATGTCAACTTGCCTGAAGGCACAACCAGACACTGGTTATGACATGGGTCAATATTCACACACCATACATATATACACATACATGTAGATACCATCAGTAGAAGGGCATCCTGGAAATTTAAATACTCTCTATGGACCAGTGCACACTATACAGTTTGATAGATGTTTACTGAGAAGCAAACGTGATATTTGTCAATTTGGTCATGTTTGTACATTTGATGTATGTGTGGGTTAGGTGTTGTTGACAAAATGGCTTGCTGTACTCACTCATCTAAATCTATATCCGCCTTTTTACATAACAATTTAAGACAAAGAAAAGTAGAATTTTTAATAACCAATTTGTGAAAATTAATACACAAGTCATGTTTGGTATTAAACTAGCTGCATTCACTCCAATTGTTTTATAGGACAATAGAAAATGTAAAATATATATGTAGTACATTGACAAACTTTGATTAACGCCAGCAAACTGCAACAGCATAGCACTGTGAGCAAATCTTGTGCACAGTGGGTAAAGAGAACCAGATTAACAGACTATCTTTTCGTCTAGATAATTTATGAGGATACATGGCAATACAGCTATTTGGTGGCATAGAGCAAATTTCATATCTTTTAAAATGTGCATTAATCTTGTTGAATCTAAGAAGTTTATGAGAAAAGTAGTAAACTTGTGTGGAAATGACAAGTTACCTGTCTCATCTGTCTAGTATGTACCTGTATACAACACATTTAAATGGTACACAGCAAACATCTCATATTTCTTTGACATTTTAGTTGCATAATGAAAATGTCAAGGTTTGAAACAGTAACTATAAAGATATTATGTTACCTCTTTCAGTAAAGGTCACTCACACCTGCAAGGTAAACTGCAGTTTCTTCTCATGCTATATGAAGTTATTTTTTCATTTTTCTACATGTATACAGTTAACAATTTCTGACAAACATGCATATAACATAAATGTCCATCTCACTAATAGGTTCTAGGTAAACTTAACAAGAACAATACCTTCAGGATGTTGTACCGCCATCCCCACCCCCCTACCCTCCAGTAAACAACCATACAAGTACGTGCAAGACACATTACTGTAAAGCACATACATGTATGCACTGAAAATGTGGTTGCTCTAAAATTCTTCCCATTAAGAACTTGTGTGTCCTCCCACGTTCTTTCTAAATTTGACTTCTTAGTTTATTCACAAATAATAATTTCTCTTAATTTGTATCCATGGTTCCATGACGGCATCCCTTATAAAAAAAGGTACAATGAACTGATAAGCATGTACACCCAAGTGAAATACCACAGGCTTGGGATATAAATTTGAAATGCACCATATGCCTATAAACACATCATAAGACACACATGCAAAACTAAGAACTTAATCTATGAAGATATAGAGCCAACGCCGTAGTCTTTAGTAGTGGATTACAGTATCTTCGCCGCCCGCGAATTAAAAGCCATATTTGCCTAAAAGTTAAAACAAATGGCACAGTATATTGAAATAATCGGTGAGAACGAATTCAAATCAAAAGACTGAATTTAATGTTTCAAAATTTTGCTTTAGCTGATCAATCTAAGAGAACACCAGAAAATAAAAAGGGTGGTAATTATAACTGATCACGACAAAGGTTTGATCTTAAGAACTGAGATGACAGAAAGGATACGCCTTAAATGTGATGGAATATCACAGTTGGTGTACTCGTAAGATAAATTACATGCAGACGGACAAAATTAACATGGTCTGTGTCTGGATGTTTGACAGGCAAGACTTTTCAGTCTGATGTTTTGTAAAATTATCCTGATAAGAGCCAAAATGACTAATTTCATTAGAATACTGAAGGTAATATTCTAGAGATACATGTTGGGAATCAAAGAGCTCCACAAACTCGGCCCCTTTTAAAACATAAAAAGAGATTAAATAGCGCATCTGAGGATGAAACCTACTCTGCAATATTCAACTCTAGGGCCACCACAGGCAGAAGGTGAATTGTTTTGTGTTATTGGACATTGCAGTAGATGTAGATGGGCTTATTGCCAGATAATAATTACATTTTCCTTCAGCTAAAACCACTTGAAGACTATTATTTCATCAGAATACATCTTAGGATATTTCATAAATGATTTAATCTGAGGCAAAAACCATCTTTAGGATATTGGAGATTAGAACAAATTTTAAGCTGTATTGCTCATAGACACACAACAAAGTTAACAAAGTGCTATGATGAACTGACACATCAAACCAGGCACAAGTCCAGTATTTTTTTTTTCTTGTTTTTTCTGGGATTGTTGCCAACACTTCAAAAGCCTGTGCACTTATTTCTCAGTGTATAAGAACCAGTGTATGAGAATCGCCAAAATTTGGAAAATCACATTCAGGGCTGTAAAAAATTCACAAAGATCTATAAGTGAAACATATATATCACCTCCCACATACTGTATCTACATGGAGGAAATGATGACTATGACAATACATGCAAGCAGAACCAGATGAGTATGACAGTGTGGTTAGTAGGTTGTGTGGTAAATTTATTCATAATACATCTTACTATATTACACCATTGGTTTCAACTTGCAAATAAAGAAAATCAGCATTTATTTCCATGCATCAAAATGGGACAAAAGATCAATTATTTGCAGCTATGTCAGTATAATAGTGACCACACACCACCAACACACTGACCACAAGGTGCGAGAACACTGACCTGTCACACATCATTCTTATTCATCACTGGTGGAAAATCATAAACCTGACTAGGGCATAAAATATGTTCAAAGCAAGTGTGGGCGAAATATAAGCATGTACATGTTCATGTTTAATGAATACAAACTGTATATCTATCTTGGAAAAAAACCCCATCCACATACAATATACGTGGAAGTTTTAAAAGTATTGCCTACAATGTTTCATCATTGTCCTCAATACCCTGTTGTAAGCCTTTCCTCTACTCATAACTTGTAACCTTGACCCTAGGTTCATGGACCTGAAAATGACTAATCACACACCGTCTTGCCATCCTATCAATATTCATGAATTTAAATGACTCAACTTATTTGAATAAGATATTATAGCCTTGACAATAAATTTGAACTTTAACAAAATGTGACCTTGACATTGGGCTTGCACACCTGAAAATGGTATGCAACACAACACATGTACATTGCACCAATACATCCACATAATTTTATTGACTTTCCTTCATATAGTACTAGTCAGAACATTGAGTCAATGCTGCAAATACTGTATATGTACATGGCAATGATCTGGACATGCATCCTAGACGGTTGAACTTGGTCCTTAGAATCTCATTGTGACACCGAACTTGGACAAACGATAATGAATATGGTATGCAACACATCGCATTGCCATTCAACATGCATGATCATTCATGAAATTTCATTGGCCTGTCCGCATAGAGACAGTGGTATGGACAAGGATATTGTTTTGACAAACTGTCAAGATATTTAAATGACTTTTGAAATGGTCATTTGCCTTTCCCAAAAATTTTGAGTACGTGTAACAATAATGTTCAAAACCACATGTTCTAACACCTTAATAGTGATTTAGGGAAAAAATGTAGGATACCATATATGACCTTTTAGGGCGTATGCCTCAATACGGGCGCTCATGCCCCTTTTTCAGGAAAATTTCTTGACTGAGTGTCCAGTTGCATATAGAAAGGATATAAAAGAAACTACACCAACTTTTTTTTCAGAATATATAAATAGGAATATGCTAGGGATTACTCTGACTGCACTGTGGACATTGAAAGCAGGCCTGATTTAGGTCATTTAGGTTATTAGGTCATAAACAGTATTCAAATTCCTGGACTTTGCCTGCAATCTTTCCCTACATTTTGAAAATCCTGCATATGAAAGGAGTACAACAAAGATGATGTAGCATCTTTCTGAAGCCTCTGCCCAAGAAATATATTTTATATGACCCTTGATGTTAAAAGCAGGTTAAATTCTAAATAAAACATCCTTTATATAAATTTCTTACCTCTCCTTGAGATATTTCTTGTGAACACATTTGTTGTTTCCAGTCCTGGTGTGTTTGACACATACCTCGTGACGTTCACATGAAACAGTACACCCTGTGAGGTAAAACAAAAAAGATACTACAAACACAATAAAAAAGGGTAATAAATCTTTATCTTATATTGCATCAACCTAACCCCTTAATTCCTCAATTAATCATGCCAGTTCAGTTTCTTCCTAGCATACACATTCAAGTTTTTTATCATTACTTTATCGTTTGCCTTTATTCTTAAGAGCAAAAAGATCTAACGGCTAAACTTTTAATCTTGTCTGCTGAAGATTGTCCTCGTGTTACCTGAAACATGGGTATCTAATCAATTATTTAATTACTTTTAAATTTTCAATCTTGTGTAGTTTATGGTTGCTTTATGTCCTGTTATTGATAACAATCAGGATCATTTAAGGACATGACAGGTTAGAGTGATGGAAGAAAGCTGGAGTTCTTGGGAAAAAAACTACTAACCTGCAGCCAGCATCTGGCTATGTATACATATAGGCCTCAATCCTCTGACCCAGAGGTCATGTAGACACCTTAACTACTTGGCCACTGAAGTCCCTTACATTTTCAACCATACCATCTTTTTCAACGATGAAAGAATACAATAGACAACTTTTATCCGATAAACAAAAGTTACTTAACATAAATAAACAGTCTTTCCTTCATTCTGAAACAAAATTCAATATTTAAGATATTCTTACTTTCAGCTGTTTCAATTGTAAAATCCAAGTGCTTCTTCCTTAATACATCATCCTGATCGATCATAAGAGTGGTATGCTTTCCCTGCAGCATTTGAAAAAATGAATTAATATGCAAAACATACATAAGACAAATGCAGCTTCCTGCACTTTGAAAAATATACTGAAATAAATCTCAATCAATTATATGTGTACAATTTGTAAACATTTCTAAAGGTTCAATTAAATATCACTTTCAAAATTTCTAAATTCAAGAACCTTATAAAAATGGGAATTAACTAGATAAGAAAAGTAAGATTTAATACATGTAAATGACGCAATATATATATCACAAAGAGTTTTGGAAATTTGGACTGATGCCAAAAACCAGTATTTCATTAATCGTATTATGTACATTTATCCTGATTATACAATTGTTTTCTACCACATGCTTAGCCTTTCGTGTACTAAATATATATGCTACGTAAACATGCTTTTATACAATACAAAAAGTAAACGATCTGGTATCATCCATTTGTAATGAATAAAGTTCAGTAACCAATGTCAAAGTATTGTTAATTTGAAAAGTACAAAATGTTACGTAATATTTCTGTATATTAAGATAAAGTATGAGCGATTAATTGAGCATATACTCGAACGATACGATCACGCGATACCTGTAATACTATACAGGGATCAATACAGGTGCGACCGTCGTTTCTTAGTCATGACTTACCAAAAAGTTTTTCCGGTTGTGGTGTGTTTTACCTCTCGCTTCACGGCGCAACTTTTTGAAATCTGACAGATTAAAACGTTTCATTTCACCATGGACACGACTTTTCATGTGTTCTGCATCTATAGTCCATATCAAAACTGCCAGCACCAAAATAGGTGCTAAACGTGCTCCAACCATCTTCGCCGTCCTCGAAAAGTTCCCTTAATGAAAACTCACTCACATAACTTCTATTATGAGTTGGGAGTGCTTATTATATTTTATAGGTAAATCAGGTTTCCGAAATAGCGATAATGAAGGACAATGTCGTATCAGTTCTCAGTGATTTAGAGACAAAACATGAGAGATGTAATAGTTCAAATAACATTAACCTTTCTGCTCGGTATTATAATTACGGCAGTACTAATATAATAATCAAAAGAGCCGACAAACCCTGTACGTATAGACCCGTCCAAAAGTTTGACAGTGATTCACTGACACCTAGCGGAAGTACCCACCTGTACAGGTGATTAGGAGACACGACACGTAGGAGTTATCGCTCTTGTAACTTAGTGTTAATCTCGTCTGTATATTTATGACCATACTGAAAATAAGCAATGCTGAGAATTCAACTGATTTTTTCTCTCGTTTACTGGATTTAAAGAGTCCTCAACGGTTCAAACACACAGCGTATCATATAGGAAATTGCTTTGTTGTATTTCTGTACGGACTTACATATAATTATGTAAGATAAATAATTGAACAATTTTCGTCTTGTCATGGACTTAAAATATTCTATTCAATCAAGTCCGAGGTCATGTTCAGTAACATATTGGAACAAGTATTTCAGTATTCCATATAGGATAAAGCTGAAGTAGGTAAAATAGTGTATTTTGGTAAAAATATCAATTAAAATAAATATGACAAGACTTGATTTCATTTGTATCAATATTAAATTAACGACGACAACATAATTAAGTTCTGAATTATTTTGTAAGAAAAATAGAGATATGACATAAAATTTCTAAAATGTCGACAAAACGGTATTGGTCAGATTTAGGTTTGTTCGTTATGATGACATTATACTAACTTATATATATCCATATCTATTAAAGGTGAGCGAAACATGATTTTACTAAAATGAGTCATTAATACGAAAAGTCGGCTTCGTTATCCTCATCATATCTGTACTTATATGAATTTTAATTGAACATTGTTGTTAGTTTTGGTAACTGTATACATTTTTGGTGCGCTTTAACAAAACTACGGATACAAGTTGATCGAACCGTTCATTTTCAGCTATTTCTATGAGACAAAATGTTTTCATACCCATGTAATCCAGAAATTTGGTTATTTTCTTCACAGATAACATAACATAACATTTCTTTGTCTTATAAAAGGTGGACAACCGCCATCTTGGAAGTCTCTATGTCACGCTTTTACCCGAGTCGTTTACTATATACATTTATCATCTTCCCACGCTCCGACGTCATCCACCATCTTGAAAATGACTGAGCTTACATGTGTGTTCCCAAAATATGTTTATGACACCGCGTCGAAAAATATTGTTTTTGTGCTGTCTGTTTGTCTGTTGCCAACTTTAACCCTGCCCATAGCTATTACACCGTAAAAGGTTGGCCTTTCATATTTGGTATGTGTGTTCCTTGTAACCAGAATGTTTCACCATGTGACGTTGACCGTGACCTCTGACCTACATTTGATTTTTTAAACATTTCCCATTACCATGGCACCATAAGAGGTATGGCTTTCATATTTGGAATGTGTGTCTCTTTTAACAAGATCTTTCCGATGATACCAAAATTTCAGACCATGTGATTTTGACCGTGACCTTTGACCTACATTCGAAAGTAAAAAAAAAAAAAAACATTACCACAATGAATACATAAGTGTTTCACAAAGTATGGATGTAATTAACACATGTCTACAACGTACAGCTTTAACGTCCCTCTTCCAAATTTTGTTGGAACCGGGGGAATACATCTTGTTTTCAGTGTTATTTAGAACTTTATATAATTTATACAATTATTTTCAAAGAACGACAATATTAAAAACTTAGTCTACACAACCACCATTTGTTTTTTTTCTTGAAGATCCAAGGAATAACATGAACAGAACAAATCGCTTCATTTTCAATTCTATGTAAGAAGTTTTGAAGTTTAATGTGTGTTTTTTCATACTTTATTCCATGAACGAATAACTAGATTTACAGGGATCATTCATTAAATTATACCAGTAGTGCCATGTATCACAATCATGAATTCATTTCGTTGCTTTTTTTCTACTGCCATTCCAAATGTATCCCCAGTGGCTGGAAAACACTCGCAATTGCACAATTCATGATTCAAATGCTGCATGGTAGTTTCCCTTTGGTGGGACAAAACAATTCTTGACGCATTTTCTTCGGCGAACGAAAAAGGAAATGAGTCACAAAGACTTTGGTCTAGTGGATACTTTGTTCTCATGTTTAATAAATACCATACAATGTTACTTGTGTGGAATCGAATTACATGAGATAAAGTCCCTTTGTCTCTGTAAAACTTGGCATTGGTGATTCTCACTTCTGTGGTGTCTGAACTAACTGAACACAAGTGTTCTAAAAATGACGTCAATATTAACATTCTTCGCCATCTTTGTATGTGTGACAATCACCTGCCTTGCTTTAATTTGCGCATAAGTAACTCTTATCAACAATACCGTACTGTTTCGAAGCTTTTTAACACCATTCGAACGCTTGATCTGTTATTCACGCTCAGCAAAAAAATGGACGCAAGGCTTTTAAATTTGAATCTCTCGGTAAGAACGTTGTGTGTCTTGCCAAATAAAACGCCAACCACACTAGCTATTCCGGAAACCGTGTATAAACTACCCTTCCCAACCAATGTTCTCAAATCACACAACAGTATCCCCCCCCCCCCCCCCCCCCCCCCCCCCCCCCCCCCCCCCCCCCCCCCGCACCTTTTTTTTTTATACAGAAACCAACTGTTCTGTCTAGTTGCATTTCCTCTTGTATATGAGTTTTATACTAAACCATCCGGGAACAGTTTTCATGGAGCGAACAGAAGTACTGTGTTCTTCACAACTGTACATGTATCTATTTTGGATGTAGATGTAAACCATAATCCGTTTAACTATAGGTATTTCAGCATTCAAAATTATGTTATTTAACAAGTCAATATGTTATTTACAATTGCGTCACCAACCTGCTCATTTCGTATGGGACTGTGTTAAAATTTGGCACGTGCATATCTATTTAAAACATTTGCGGTGTGCAATGGCGTTATACAGTTTCATTAATTCTTGGTACGGAAACTGTGTAGTGACAGAACTAATTGAGTTACCCTCGTATTTTATGTAAGTTCATCAAATTATTGGAATCCGATTAAAATACATCTCTTCAATACGCCCAAACTTAATACGTAAAGTCTCGTAGTGAATTGGAATTAGTTTTAATAAGATTGAAATTATTTATAATTCATTCAATGAGCAAATAAGTCGATCTATCTGAAACCAAGTGTAACTACAGGAAATATATGGACTATCAATTTGATGAAAATAAAGTGTATATTAACTACAAACACCCGTTCAGGAATACAAATATTTATCATATATCTACATACATATACAAAAGTACATATACCAACAACAAGCATGTATATATCTACAGCGACAAACAATTCTATGATATAATAAACATACTAAAATGTTCAATTCTAATTTATGTAAGAACACAAACTGGTTACACATAGTCTGGGATATTGATACTGTAATTTAAGGACAGGCAGACAGCCTATTTGCTAACGTTATGAAATTATAATTTCCGTATGTGACAATACCTCTCTATTCTAAACAGCCCATCCATGTCTACAGTAAACTATTTAAAGCACCTTAGTATCGTCTGATTCAGGTATACTGTCTACCACTTCACCTTGCCGGGGATGTATTTCTCCACGAGTGCACTGTAATAGGCCTGGAGTTCATCCACATCCGGCGTCACAGCGCTCTTAGTGTACAAGTCAAACTTGTTAAATTCATTGATCCAATCCTTCATCTCTTCGTCCTTGTTGTTACTCAAGTATCCGTAAGCCCCACTCGAGTGCCAGGGGTAGAATGAGTGGTACCGGATCATGTACAAACCCTCTTCCGGTATCTTGCATGTGTTGAGGTCAGAGGTTAAGACGCGGTACAAATATTCATCATGGCCCCATGACAAAAGAACTTTATCCAATCCGCAGTTTTCCTCATACATTCCCAGTTTTGTATTGTATTTTTCATTTTTCATGTCCGGATTATCTTTGAAACTCTCCCGCCCGAAAACGATTCGATCGTCTGGGAGACAGCCTACAGGAAAAGTGTCCCCTACCGTGGACCATTGTGGCTCCCCCCAGTGGGCCATAACTTTGCCTGCGTCGTGGATCAGACCTACCACATGGAACCAGTCTTTGTCCGGGTGCGCCCTACGAATACCCTCGGCAGTTTGATAGCCGTGCAAGGAATTCGGCATATCAACATCAGGATCACTTTCATCCAAAAACGAGTCAAGGGAATTCAACGCTTCCATCATGGTCATTTCGGCGTGATTGAATTTGCAATATTGGTCGATCTTTCCCTGGACATATTCCACTGTCTGAAAAGTATGCATGCTTTTGTATGTGTCAATGACCCGAGCGGGACACGTATGGATGTTAAAATTTCGATATTCTGTTTTGTCCTTGTACTCTGGTCGGTATTCCGAGGGATCGCTTAAAACTATCCGTTTCTGCACTGTCGAAGCCATTTGAGTCTCGATGTTCCAGTTTTAGAAAAAAACAGTAGCTGTGTATGTTCCTTGTGCAAGTCCGCGGTTAGTGTGCCAGGCACGACAGTCGTTTCAATTTTAAATGTCTCTTGTCCTAGATAAACCCCAGGTCGACCTCGAGGCGGCTGTCCCCACCGATAAACAACCCATGCAATCTCGTCCCGAATTTGTCAATACAAAACGTTCGACTTTTCACCTATAATGGTGTTCTATATACATTTCCTGATGAACTTGATTTTTTTTCAAGAATTGACTTATAAAATACGTAAAAGCAGTTTAGTCTCTATTTGATATATTGTACTTAAGAATCAATCAGGAGAAATACTGCTGCCATTCATAGTTCGTTGTTTATTGCCCCGTGAACAAACAGGATCATTCTGACGCAGTATCCTTGTAATAGCTGGGGGCTATCTCAGTGAGCAACACAGAGGAGGCCCGTCGCATGTCATCAAGAGTAATAAGGGTCCATTTCTCAAAGGTTATGTTTTCCGTTAACTTAAGGTATCCATTTTTCCCGATCTCATAAATATCTGTTTAGCATTAAGAATTATGGGGAGAGATTCCAAATTTCTATATAGCACATGTGTTTTGTTGCATTCCTACCCTGAAGGCTGAAGAACAGGGCCCAGAAAAGGGAATTACGTTTAACAGAAATTAATGTTTTGGCAAACTGGTCTTTAACGGGAGAGAAACAGAGATGGGTCGCAAGAGATTAGGTTATAAAAAACTACTTTAGCATTAACTAACATGCGTTTAGGTGCATCAAGTGTGGCTCCAGAAATGTTTCCGGAGAAAATGGAGAAACATGAGTATCTCGTTAGTCTAAAACTGTCAATTTTTCAGCTTTCTCAAACAGGAAATGTGGAAAGCAAAATGATGGCACAACAGAAATTTTAAAATCATATCGCATGAATATGGAACAAGATCAGCTCGTAAAGAGTGAGGTAAAAGTCATTTCATATAGATGTCTTAATATTTAGTTTCTTGAGAGAATGTGGATTAAAAAAAACGCTCACACGACTATTTTTTAATTGTAAACTAAAACATTATGACCAAAAATGTTGAATGTCAGGTCTGGTATTTTGACGTTGTAAATGTGACAACACTTTTTACTTTAGTCATTATTTCGTCCACTAAGGGAACACCCGTGCACTTGCATTTTTTTCAACAGTGTTTACAACAATGAAAATTGTGTGGCCTCATATTCAGACGAGGTCAATCTTGTCAAAATTTAGTTCAGAATGAACGAAAATGTATATCTTTACAAAATTTCAATATATATACGCACACACGTCAATTATCGATATTGAATTATCCTCCTTTTCAATATGGCATCACAACATTTTTTTTTCACTCGGAGTGTGAACAAATAAGAAGAGTTCTACTCGTTGTCCTCGTGGCTCTTATCACAACAACCTGAGGTCAAACAGCCACGGTATCTGGAGTTCGTGCTCGACTGCCTTTAGAAAAGACTGGTGTCAAAAACAAGGCCGACATGAGTGTGAAACTTGGGTTACACAAACAGGTGTAGTGTTTATCATCTAGGTGTACCCACAAATCAAATAAGGCACACGATATTTTATACATTGAGTTGCTATTGCTGAACGGTAGAGCATCGGACTAATCTAATGTATATTTTAATCCCTAGCTGGGCGGACTATGTTGTCTTGTTTAAGACATCATAAATCAATTTCTATTGATACCAAGCGACGAGCCTCCCGAATGGTGTTCAGTGAGGTAGCCAATGTGACAGCGCCTCCAAAGGACACTGACTGTACGATATATCTATCAAAACATCCAGTTCCCAGTCCGGTTGACCGAAAGACATGTGATAAACCTTCTCCTGCATAGATGGATAATGAAGTCCTTGGCCAAATATTTTGTTGGTCGACGAATGACAGATGTTGCAATAAGTACCGTTCCAGAAATTAAAAAGAGCAAGGTCGACGGCAGTGAATAATAATCTATATATAATACAAGACTTTCATTTACTATGTAAGAAAAAAAGATCACAATATCGCTAACCCATATTGCTGCGGAACGTTAAGGATACTTACAGGATGGTCGGGTGGCGCAGTAGGGTTTACTACTCCCGTACAGACGTGAAAAATGCATGTAAGCTATCTACCTGATCACTTCGGCATTCCCCGGGCACTCCGGTTTCCCATAGTATGGCCCCCTGCGCTTTTCCGAGGCAACCAGAGTGATAAATGAAAACGTAAGATATTGTTTCCTACTTGTAAATAAAGTCTGTTCATTTACTGTAATTTCACAGAAATCTTTTAGTAATTAATGATTTTTCCGCCAATTTATAAAGACAGAATTCTGGCCTATTTCCTTACACAGATTTCATCCACGTATATTATGTGTGTTCAGCTTCAGTAATTCGGAGCGAGGTGGATATCTTTGAACGGATTTTATCTTTTCTTCATTGAGTTTTCTTTATTAATTCTATATAGGAGTTATTCTTTAGCTTTTGGTTTATGTAACGGAAGGTTCATATCGTATTGTCAGGTGAATGACTTAATCACTGAGCATAGGAAAGAAGCTGACTTTGAAAAAGATCCAAGATGGCCGCCACTGGGTTCTAGTCTCTTTAATAGGTCAATGCAGATTGTCAGAGAAATCACAATGGCCAAATCCTATATACACAAAGGTAGAAAATATAATGAGGAGATGGTAATATTAAAGGAAAGACTACACTACATTATGCTGGAGTTAATTCTGGTATAATTTGTTTAATACTTGATCATATATGAACACTCCTAGTACACTAAAGTTCTACAAAGAACAGTGCTAAATAGTGCCCAATGTTGACTTTATTGGTTCCATTGATTACAATGTCCAGATCACTTACAGACATTATAGGATCCTGGTGGGGAAATAATAACATCATGTCAAAATGTCCAAGGACCTTGCAGACAGTATGTCCACAGTACTTATCCAAAACGATCAGTAATCCATTCCATACGATGTAGTGTCGAGGTATCAAATTCACCGACGTGGAAAAAGTCGATGCCATTCTTTGACACCCTTCTAGAATGATGACAATATTAGCATTGGTCTATAGGCAGTTGGCCTTGTATGAACTTTGCTCAACAGATGTGAAATTATTGTTACAGACGAAGAAGACATGAAGCAAAATCAAAATGCAATGAAAGCATGTGAATACCCTAAATTGTGCAATTCAGAAAGTTAACAAGGAATTAAGGGAGAGCAAAGAAAAGGACAAGAGATAAATCACCGAGGAAAAGAGCAAAAAAAAAAAACCGAGGTCGTGATATTATAACAGCCACGAAACCTCACATGACTCTTTGTAACAGTTCACCCTAAGGATTAAACACCCAATGAGAACAGTGTTAAACGAAGCATATCAACAGTGTTATCATTTTGTCTTCACACTATTTCCAATCAGAATCTTCATCATGAACGGCGATCCAAAAGATACACACAGACACAATACGAGTAGATTGCTTTATTACGAAATTAACACGTACGAAATCATCGACGTGTTCGTGTTACCTGTGTCAGTAAAAACAAGAATTCCTTTATGTATATATAGAATGTTTCGAGGGATTCGTTACATCCAATTGACGGTGTAGTTATATTGGGTGGCGATAGGTAGCGGATGGTGGTCCTTAGCGTCTCGTACACTACATGCGTTAGACTCAAATTCTGATTAATTTTATTCCTTGCGTTTCATATACAACATAGTGAAATAATGTAACAGTGCAATAGTGCTTTACAATAAGTACATCAGTTATACATATACAATACATTTTCTTAATTGTTGTGTAGATCTGAATTAAATCTGTGCTAGCACGCGTCACACTCACACTTAATTGATCGTCAGATTAGATCCGATATTCTGTTGAAAATTGTATGTTCCTTCTCATCAGTTTTGTATATTGGGTTGTCAAAATGATATGAAGACGCAAACAACATCTTACATAAATTCAATAGGCATGAAGATTAAACCAGAATAAGGTTTTTGAGCTTCAGAATCGGAAAAGAGACAGAGAGCACAATATTCCATTATATAATGCTAATGACACACAAGTTACATCTACATTCCGCCTCATTGCAAAACTCCATGACCTATTGATGAGAAAGTCATCTAATCCGCAATATGCCGCAGTCTTCTCGTATGCAAATAGGCCTTACTTAAATAATCGCGTATCGAGTGTCTGACTGTAAATCAGTGAGTTTTAGAACATGTTCGCAACCACACATTTAAATCCCCAACGCTCTTCATGTATTTCATTTCATTAAAACAAACCCAAAATCAAACAAGCGAACAAAAAACAATTTCCGTTAAAGCGGTTTGTAAAATTCAGCCTTTAAGCTTGAAATGTTCAGTACCGTTTTGAAGTGGTTTACTTGGGCTCGCGTTTAAGGAATAATTCGGGCCACTTGGTTAAAGCGTTTGTGTTTTATTCACTTTCCTATCTCATCACCCGAAAAGATCGAGATATTCCAACGCAAGACATTTTTGCGTCAGAAAACCTAACGTCTGATGCATAAAAGAAACATTCATTGCGATAGGTTACGGAATGCAGTTTGTTTACCCGTCATTTGTAGACATATACAATTATAAATATACATGCAAGGTCTCGAGTCCTGTAAACATAGCATTTCGAAGGGACTCGTAGAGTTCCTGAAAAAAAAACCGAATAAATTTTACATTGTGAGACCACTATTCTAAAACAAACTTAAAAAGGACCCGTGAAAATAAATGGTAAATTGATCTCTGTATATATATGTATATAATAAAAGGCTAACAAGAATCACAAATTATTGCTGATTAATGGTTGTTATTACGCTGTAATACATTTGTAAGAATCAGAATTGGACCACTGAAAAAAAACACCACGTAGTTTGAAAATATAACGCGTTTGGAATCTTCACGAGAAATAAAAAATTAATTAACAGTAATAACACATTTTTTTCAGAGTTGATATGAATATATTTCTTCTTTTGTCTAATTGACTTCCGTACATTTGTGTTCTATCAATTTTAAAAAGGATCTTTATCCCCAGTGGTGAGTCGATTCCGTGTCAACAAAGTTCAATATCAAATTATCTTTCAAATCATTTATATAAAATATTTATACCAATACAACATGTAACATAGAATGGCAGTGTATCTAAGGCACTAGAGGAAAATGTTTCAAAATATGTAACATATAAAATAGTGTATTTGATTTATAAGTGAAAAAAGGAGAAATGAAAAAAATGATAAAATTATTCTTGAAGAGGAAAGCGTAATGTAGTTTTGTAGGAGTTGTAACTTCCTCTACCCTTGATAACAAGTTGGTCGTTGTAAAGGTATGCTGTAGCGTAGGAATCGGTTTCAAGACTCTCTACAGTTCCGGGAAATGTTATGTGCAATATACCGGAAAAATCTACACTACTTCCACCCTCGTGGTCATGACCAGCTAAGTAACAAACGACACAGTCACTGAAATCGGTTAAGACCTCCATAGCATCTGTGCAGTTTAACAATAAATCCATATTGTTTGCGCTATGCTCAAATATAGGACAGTGACCTAAAATTGAAAACAAACAAATAAATAAGTTACATATGATGCAAGGAACGATAATTGTAAAAACAACTGCCGGGTTTATGCTTCACTTTGAGTATACGTTTGCAACTACCCATGGAAACTCGTCTGATTGAAGCCTAATATTATGCAGTACATTTTCAATATTTACGTTGCCTCGCCGATAAATTTGAATTTTGTTGATTATGTAATACTGAACTTACCCATGATTATAACATTTACTCTCTTATTTGTAGCGTCCCTAAGGTGTTCCTTCAACCAGTCCATTTGTGTTCCTGATATTGCACCATTTAACTTAAGGAAACGACGACACATTCCACGAAGTCCGTCAGGATCGTTCAAATTCTCCTTTGGATTATTGCCCTTTATTATTGTCTCGGCCTCTTTATAAGCAGGCGAGTCTTCTGACAATCCCAACATGCTTATTTCATAACAGTTAAGCACGACAACTTTCAACTTCCGATGTATGCTGAATGAGTAGTAAGATTTCCCCTTTGGACATGTGCATTGCGGCATGTTACCACTAAATAGAGGGGTGCTCATGAGTTCTTCCTGTGTGAAATTATAGAGCTCATGGTTTCCCCATGTGTGATATATCGGACCCGGAAACGCTTTCAGTACTTCAAGAACCGTTCTTAAGGCACTTTCCGAAGCCTTCTCCTCTTTGTTGAATCCGTCGATGACATCACCAAGTTGAAGGACACAATTTGCTTCTTCCGCTGTCCAGTCTGATACGGCTCGTTGTAACAAGGTCAAGGCCTTTCGATAAAATCTTAATCGTGTTTTCCGGAAATTGTATCTATCTTCTATATCAGCATATTGTACATCCGCGATGATGCCCATCTTACACACCACTTCCTTTTCCTTTGTCAGTTCAGTGTTTCCGTTGCAATCCATACTGGTATTTTTGCACCTGTAAAAAGCACCAGTAAATAATAACGGTCAAATTACATAATCATCATTATTTTGATAATGTGAAACAGCATAATGATGATTCGTCAACATATATTTAAAAATCCATCTATCGAAATCAAATTTGAATAAGAAATTCAAATAATACCTGAACATTTCAGTATCGGTATAAAGCTGACAACTGATACCAATTCCCAGTCTCATAATATACATGCTGTACAATGAGCAAGGGGTCGGGAATCGGTTCAAAGCCCTGTAAAGTTGACTGATCATAAGATAGTGATTTTCCGCGGATAATTTGGACCACTCAGACTAACTGAAATGGTACACTGAACGTGTGATTTACATACTATTTAGGCCTCAGTTTTTATGTCTATGTATATATTATGATGTAAGATTGGTGTTACTACAGACTTGAATGGTTCCGTAAAATTATTCGATATACATTGTCTATAAGTAAAACCCATTTCACAGCTTGTCCAAATACGACCGAATTTTTCAACCTTATACCTTCATTATATTATTATCATTAATTGGACTAATGCAAGTCTATTGATATGTTACACGTACAGTGTGTGTATACATACACACGCTAGTGTTATTGTGTGTGAACTACTCGCTATACATATATAATGTATCTCGATTGACATTTCATGTATAAACATAAACATAATTCAGTTAACGTTTAGTAAAACTATCTAAAGTCTTTTGCATGTCACATATACCAATCATGCTTAAACAGCTACTCTCGTACTTGTAAATCATATACATTTGTGGAGTAGTGTTCTATTAACCTACCTGACTGACCTCCGTCACCCTCTTTCCTTGCGTGGCTTTTGCTATCATTGAGGACCTGTTGACGTTGTTGACTAGTATCTGTTCAGACAATGACGTCAGCGGTGCAGTTCATACTAAAACAAGTCACTAGCTTGACAACATAACAACTTCCAACTTCTCTCAAGTGTCACAGAAACACTAGGTCGGGGTGGAAACTACGGAAGGGAGATAACTCTAATATAAAACACACACGGAAACACTGTAATCTGATCTGGGTAAATAATGAATAAGGCATGAGCTACACGTAAATACAAGGACAGACATGTTGTATGTTACTAATATGCGTTAAAGCTAATTAACTGTATTGTCCATAAAACAATTTGCTTACTGAATTATTTACTTAAAAGTTATCATGGAATTATAAAGAAGTTTGTTGTATAGTCTGTTATATACAATGTACAATGTACACTGAAGCACAACGAAGCTTATTGCGGCGTATAATTCAAGCCTCGAGATAATTAGCACCAGTGCACATGTCTCCTTAGCAACTCATTGTCAGCGAACTTTCCATGCACGAGTGACCTCTCTTGCATTACTAGGTTAATTTACAAATGTCGCCGTCACCCGAATATGAATGAAGAAATAAGTGAAATGGGACTTATTATGAAAAAAATTAATGTGTTTAAAAAGGAACGTTGTTATACTTTCCCAAAGAATGTCACTTAACAATATTGTTCCTCTTCTTAAACATGAAAATAATGTTAATGGAATCATCTGTTTCATGCATGATTTGGTTCATAACTTACTCTGTTACATGTGACTGTCTCGTGTGACAATCTATTACTACAAGAAAGAGGACGAGATGAAAAAATCTTTGTGAATTGTGAAATTATCATCTTCCGGCCTTTAATCAAACGCCAATAACAAAATTAAGCTTATCGTATGTCTTCGTCATACAACAACACTGTACGTCATGTAATATAACAAGATCCAACAGTTATTAGATACAAAACATTACAAAGAAAATGTACCCGTGGTATATCAATTAGCGATTAGAAATTAGCTTGATTGGCAACGAGGAAAAATAAAGCAAAATTCAAAATCAACTGTAGTGGTATGATCATAACAAAGCCGCTGGGTTCGATGTTTCACTTTTATTAAGAGAGAAACATTCCAGAAAAATACAGAGACAGACTTACTGACAAAAGAATCCAACCGTTCACACGGAGAGAGAACAATAATAGAAAGACAGACACTTTCAACCAATCTTACAACTTCATCAAAGTCCGTCAAGTGTCACATGTCGAGTCTGTAGCTGACCACAACTTACATACAACACACATACATACGTACAAAGCTAAAAACAAAGAAACGTACTCGACAACCAATTCAGTATATTGTACTAAACGACAAATTAATTTATTTTAAATCCAACATAATTTGACAATTATATTATAACTTAATATTTTTGACCTTGTTACATAACTACAAAAATAGCTATTAACTGGCCTGAGTTTAATAATTAAGTATATGTAGTTACTTTAAGTTGGAAAGTCAAGGTAAAGGATAAACAAAAATGACTCCCCCCTCCTCCCCTCAAATGGTTAGTTAGAGCGACTACGAGACAAATGTTTGAAAATGTATAAAAGCCCACTATGTACACGTACCTGTATCAAGACTATAAGGAAAATTATATCACGTGAGATGAAGCTGCATTAATGCCGATCAATACACAAGTTAACGTTTTGAAAAAAAGGTAATTAATATGGGACAGTCCTCGAGTTACCGTTGTATCTCGACATCATATTAACCTTGTCGTTAACTTAGGAACTTTCCAGTTAGTAACGTGTTAAATGACGTAAGGTCATTCCGTTTGATTATGATGTCACAATTCAAATCATGCCAACTTTTCTCATTATTGGTCGACCAGTATATTACACTTGAAACATTAAATGAATTTTCCGCACTTGAAAACGTCTTTTTCTTAAGTTATATCTAGCTGATTGGAAACTTGAGTTTTGCTTCGTGGGATGAGTAACTTCCCATGCCCTTTATGACTAATCGGTCACTGTAGAGGTAGGCTGTTGCATTAGCATCCATATCTTCACTTTCTATAACTCCGGCAAATGTTACGTGTAGTATACCGGAACTGTCCACGTAACTTCCGCCCTCGTGGTAATGACCGGCGAAGTAGCAGAGTACACACGCGCTGTATGTAGCTATTGCTGCCATGATTTCTGCGTAGTTTAAGCATAGAAACATGTTGTTTGTACTCTTCTCACAAATCGGAACATGACCTTAAATAGGAAAAATACAAGATTCATTAATTAGTTTCTGTACCTGGATCTGCCAGCGACAAACACATATTACGGATCAACAGTATTTGTCATTAGTTCAATGTAATGCGATCTGTTTAGAATTTAAAATGAATTCGTCTCTCACTTGCTACATTGTCACGTTTAACTGAATTCGTTACAAAAAGTACGCAGTGACACGAGTTATATGATTTTAATATGACCGTAAAACAAGGCAGAAAAAACGACGAAATTTCTACGTCATCAAATTGGATGTACAAACCGATTAATATTCATTAATATACACGCTCATATATTTATAAGAAAGCTTACCCATTATGATGACGTTTTCCTGATCTTCTTCAGCCTTTTGTAAAATTTCTTTCAACCATTTCAGTTGGGAATTTGACACCATTCCATTAAATTTGACAAACCGACGATTTGATCCCTGCAATCCATCTGGATTGTTCAAACTCTCATTTGGATTATTTTTTGAGATCAGTTCATAGGCCTCTTTGTATTCTGCGGAGTCTTTTGGTAGACCCAACATACTTATTTCATAACAATTCAGTACCACAACTTTCAGCTTCCTGTGAATGTTGAACGAATAATACGTCTTTCCATCTGGGCATGCGCACTGTGGCATGTTACCACTGAACAAAAGGGATCTTTTAAGCTCCTCCTGTGTGAAGTTGTACAATTCATGGTTTCCCCACGTGTGGTAAATTGGACCCGGAAATAGATTTAAAATATCAATAACTGATGCAAGTGCACTTCCGGAAGCGTTGTGTACTGTGTTCAATCCATCTATGATGTCACCGAGTTGAAGAACACAATCCACTCCCTTGATTGTCCAGTTGGTAACCGCTCGTTCGAGTTTACCAAGAGATTTCCTGTAATTTCTTAGTCGTGTTTTATGGAAGTTGTACCTTTCTTCTAAGTCGCCATACTGGACATCAGCGATGATACCGAAACTGCATTCTGCACCTAAACAAACTGATTCTGGACAATTCAGAGTCATGATTTCTGGAAAATAAATATGTTATCTTTACATGATATATTTAGACAAATTATTTATGTATAACGGTAATAATACAAACGATTGTTATGTTACAATGAACATGGTTACTTTCAGACATGCTGATCGCTGATGCACTACCACGTGTATTTCTTAAAGTAGACTTAAATCGCCATGCATCATTAAGTATAGAAATAAAATTTTCAATGGTTCAAAGTGATAACAATAATCTTGTTATATACACTCATAGTTCATCAAATCTAGTAAACCAGTCTTTCGAGAATCTTACATATTGTATATGATTCGGTAAAGATGTACAATCTGGACATGCCAGTAAAGGTATGACTGTGTTTATGGGTCACTCTTTATTATATACCGGATGTATCAACAAATTCAACTGCCACGTCACCGAAAATGATTTCACAACAACGTGTAAAATAAAGGGAGGCAACTCCCGTGAGTTTTTGTGGCCAACATAGGCAATGCCCACCCTCTAAATGAAACTTCGCTTTTCTTGCATACCAAAGACGATTAATAGCTCTCAAAACGAATCTAGTACTTTAAATTAATATTTATATAGGGTGACGTGACATGTAATTTTAATTTGTTTTATAGAATGTCGTGTTATGACCTTAAAATCAACGGAACCACAAGTATCACTATTATGTCCGTCTACACAGAGTAACCAGACGTGGGAAACATCGGACAAATTTGAGACAGCGAGATTTGTACTCAAAGTATCATGCCAATATTGATGGACGGATATTATATAATTACAGAAATACTTCTCCATCCTCTAAGAAGAAAGAAGGATACAAACTACACTTGTTAAGATTATACTACACTTAGATACATAGGCATTACACTAACCGTATTATATTTTCATTTCCGTTTGTATTTCATACCTACATTAAATATTATTTCACAAACAAAATGGTACAGTCCATTCCGAACATAATAACAGATAATTACAATCGTTATATTATAAAAAAAAATCAACATGACAAGCCATATTGCATCAACATTAAAACAATTTTATTTTCCTTGAATACTTTCAGAATTTAACATTTCATGTCGTTTCCTTTAGATAAAAATATTTCTTATAAATCATTTGAAAGACATTTACATATTAATACTGTATTAGAAATATACAATTGGAGAAATGTATCACATGACATACACAACACAGATAAAACTTTAACCAAACAATTTTATGTATCCCGCACTCCATTATTTTACTCCAGTTACTAAATGTCGTAAATTGATTAAAGATCAATTAGTGCATGCTCCATATCAATAAATACTTTCAACAATTAGTTAGGATAGGATCACTCTATGGATTTCGTTTTATTTCATATCATTTGTAAGAGATGTAAAAATGTGTTTTCCATTACAAAAATACAAATAACTATTAAATAAAATGATTCTCAATCACAATCAACAGTTTTATTTCAGGAAATAGATATTTCAGGTGTTAACTACCGTCATACATTTTTTGAAGGATAAACAAGAAGCTTTTTATTAATACGCATAAAATCAACCTGCATTATGTTTTAAAACTGATGAACAAAAGCAAAGAAAAGTAGAAATACTTGTTTTAGAAGGGAGATAACTCCCACAGCTAAGTCAATCATGACGAGATCAGGTTGAAATTGCATTAGACTTCCTCTTTTGTGTTATATACATGTTTTGATCAGTGTGAAGACACAATAGTAAGCATTAATAGAGGACTTAATAATGTAGACTAAACTATATAAATTGCATATAGAGGCACTTGATGTTCTGATTAGGCTAGGAAAGGACAAATGTACATCGTAATTCAAATAAAAATATTGTGAAGTGTGGTGAACTTTTATAAGAAATATATAGAAAGAAAATTAAAATTACCCCTGAAACAGAAATATTTCGGACATGTAAAGATAAAACTAAATTTGTAACATTGATAAGCTGACTGAATTAATTATCTACTTATATGAGAAGTACCTCAATGAAAAAAAAAAAAAAAAAAAAACATGGGTCATTGTCACAAATGAATTATTGAATGACCATATACGACCGAGACAACCATTATTAAAAATAAAACGGGGAAAGTCATGAAACCTAAAAAATAAAAGTAGATGTATAGTTTTATCTACACCTATGTGTATTATTAACATGGTCCCTTAAACCTACCAACTTTCATTAAAATTCCCAAAGACAAAAAACCAAAACTAAAAAATTATGTCAAATTATTAATGTAAATGGGAATCAAATCAACAACGACAAATTACATCGGAAATAAAAGAAATAATTTAATACTACACTTCCAAGGTAAGAAAATAAAAAAGGGAATATTAGTCTCATATAACTATATAAACCAAAATGACTATTAGAATTGATTGAAAATAAATATTTGATAAAATCCGTTATAATTCATCCTGAAGTTAGATATCAAAATGAAAAAAGTCATGTGTTGCGGATATGTATATGGTATGATCTAAGTTTATGTAAACCAAACATGACCTGTCTGTCTTTTTTCTATAATCATGTGATAGGGTATCTGAGTTTTGTTTCAAAGGAAGGATAACTCCCTTTCCCATGTATGGCGAAGCTGTCTTTGTAGAGGTAGGCTGTAGCATGGGCATCTGGTTCCGAACTTTCCACAGTTCCGGGAAAAGTCACGTGCAGAATTCCGGAACTGTCCACACAACTTCCGCCTTCGTGATCATGTCCGGCCAAATAACAAAGTACACATTCTCCGTGATTCGACAGTATTTTCAAAATGTCCTCATGGTCATAACATAAACATGCACTGTCTGCACTTCCCTCATGTATGGATATATGTCCTAGAAAACAAAAATATTGATATGTTTACCAGTCTTAAGAATATTTTACCTATATTTTCATATATACCATTTTATCAATCAATAATGCTATTTCATTAATTGGTTCTGATTTTTTAACAGTAAACAAACACGGAAATAAATATTTTGGCCCTTATCTAGCAGTTTACACACACAAATGTGTATCAAAAAGAATAAAGGTAATGCAAATCACGTTACCTACATATATGCATCGCTAAGCGTGAACCTCCAGATTGGCACTATGTTTAAAATAGGTTTTTGTACAGATAAACATGAAGATTTGCTAAATCAAGTGGTTTAATCGCCGTAGGCAATATAAAACACAACACTGCTTGTACCTGACATGATATTTGACATCATTCATGATCATTAAACAGAGAATTCGAAATAATGTCAACATTCTGTTGTTAAACATATACAACATGATGAAACCGATCCCTTCCAGAGCATGTCACACCGAAAGACACTTTGGTAGAGATAGGATCAAAGTGAAATAAGTTTTTCTCTGTAAACAAAATGTCCTGAATCAAGACGTGGTAAAGTAAAATTATCACAACATACCAATAATGATAACATTAGTCTCGTTCTCTCTGGCCTCTTGTAGGGTCTCGTTTAACCACTGCAGTTGTAAGGAAGACAAAGTACCATTAAATTTCACAAAACGCCGATCTGTTCCAGTAAGACCCACCGGAGAGTTAAGATCCTCGTTTGGATTTTTATCTCTGAGCATTTTTTCTGCCTGTGTATACTCTTCAGATCCCTCTGGTAGTCCAAGCATGCTTATTTCGTAACAATTCAATACCAAAACCTTTAACTTCCTGTGAACATGGAATGAGTAGTAGGACTTTCCTTCAGGACATGTGCACTGAGGCAAGTTACCGCTAAACAGAACTGAGTTCATTAGTTCTTTCTGTGTGAAGTTGTAGAGTTCATGATTTCCCCACGTGTGGTAAACCGGAACCGCAACATGTTTAAGCGCTTCGGTTACTGTTGCTAAGGCACTATCGGACGCATTCTCAGCTTTGTTGAACCCATCGATGATGTCACCAAGTTGAAGGACGCAGTCAACATTTTCAGTGCTCCAATCCGTAACGGCCCTTTTCAGTAAGGTCAAAGCCTTTCGATAAAACCGTAAACGTGTTTTGGTGAAATTGAAACGATCCTCTAGATTTGCATACTGTACATCAGCGATAATGCCAACTTTACATATGGGTTCTTGATGATTTTGCGTGGATGATTCAGATGTACAGTTTGTTAACATATCCAAGACAATGTTGATCTGGAAAAGAAGACGATTCCGTGAAAAGAACATAAACTTAATAACAAATCTCAAAAAGACATTTTGCCTATTCGTGTGCTAATTTTCGCCACAATATTTAAAATACAGTTTTCACTGCTGTAAATACACAGATATTTACTCAAGAAAGAATGCATGTACCAATCAAGATATGTTTCAGAGATAAAGATTTATTGTGCATGTTATGAAGTAATCGAACAAGTATTTTTTTAAAATTGACCTCATGGTTCTGCTGTGTTCGTAAGCGATCGTTACCATTGTTTAACATATCACATTATCTACACAGAATCATTGCAGATGTCAATTAATAAGATAGAATATAGTTTTTGTTGTCACAATACTAGACCCCAGTAATGATAATATCTGAATGTGCATTTTATGGTATGTACATTGTTGTACTCCGAGTAGTCGGACAATCTGTCATCCACATTCTGGTGTGTGGCACATTGAATGGATGGATGATGGATCATTCACTTTCTAGTGTGTGGCACATTGAATGGTTGGACGATGACTCGTCCACATTCTGGTGTGTGGCACATTGAATGGATGGACGATGACTCGTCCACATTCTGGTGTGTGACACATTGAATGGTTGGACGATGACTCGTCCACATTCTGGTGTGTGGCACATTGAATGGTTGGACGAAGACTCGTCCACATTCTGGTGTGTGGCACATTAAATGGTTGGACGATGACTCGTCCACATTCTGGTGTGTGGCACATTGAATGGTTGGACGATGACTCGTCCACATTCTAGTGTGTGTGTAACAAAATGAGTAAAAAAATGGGTTTAATGGTAATTTTGGAATGGTGTGTATCGTAGAGAGCAGCATCTTAGTTTAAAGTACATCAGGTCAAAAGTCAGTTAATCCCGTGAGTGATAGATAGTGATGCACGCCTGATAACGGGCGGGGTGTGTACCCAAGTGGTGAAGCACCGTGGCAGAATATCGCCATTATGATTGATCAGGACAGGTAGATGCTTTCTTGTATGCCTCGCGCTGGCGAACACATTTGTAAGTAAACAAGATAAGAAACAATGTATAAGGTAGATCAAAGATGGGAAGTTGATAACGGGTACTCCTAGTCGCACGTGCCTTCATAATTAGATGCTCCGGGGGCTGGGTTATTGTTGTCCAGTTGAGACTAGGCTTAAATTAAGTATTTGGGTATTATTTATACAAAGATAATTGCCAGCAGAAGTGTAGTCGAGTCTGGGATCGAGTAGCTAGAGAGAGTTGGGAGTCGGACGTGCAGACGGGCAGAGTCCCGTATGGGACCTGCTCCGCGATGGAGTGGGTCCTGGCCAAGTTGGCCCATGGACATTTGTATGGAACTCTTTGATATGGACGGGCAGGTTTTTCGTTGTTGTCTGCCTTACACAGGTGTTTAGTTTTGGTGCCACGACATGATGCTGTATGTTGATTAGGAACTATCTTTTGTAATGGATACTAACGCGAAGTACTAACTATGGAAAACCACTATACGATGAAATAAAAGTTTCGGTCAACCCAAGTAAACACTGTGTTTAGTCATTGTGTTACAGTGTGGCACCCTGAATGGCTAGATGATGACTTATCAATAATCTGGTGTATTGCATTCTGAATGACTGGACAATGTTTCGTCCACATGTTGGCGCACTCTAAATGAATATTTGGACGGTGACTCGTCCACACGGGCCATATATTGGAAGACTACCCAGTGTAAGTACGTTATGTATGATCGTAGCAAAATATTTAAATGCTCTCTGTACTAAAATGTTTAGTTCTGTTTTCAGACTTTCAAAAACAAAGTAGTGGAAAGGGTTTTTGGGAAATGTTGCCTAAACATGCAACCAGCCACACATAAAAATGTACTATACTAATATAGTTTGCATTTACTACACCTGTTGTCTCACAGGAAAAGTATGTTTATAAAATATTTAATTAATAATTGCAGAAGGACCATTTAGTTTCATATCTATTGTTATCACCACAATAATACAATTCTACCAACAAAGTTACTTTATTAATCAAATCTAAAATATCTTTTAAAAACTTGCCTAATCTACATCAGGGACGCTATCTACGCCCCTGTCTACATGTATATACATACTACATAGTCTGTCTGAAGTAGATTTAGAGAACACACCTGAAGTGGAGATTGTAGATATGCCCTCACGTTATGGTTGAGTAAGGACAATCGCTGATGTACACACAGACGTGGGAGTTCAAGTATGAGAGCAGCCCAAACCAGTTTCATTCAGAATCCTCTATGACAAGGCTCCTTACCCACTTCTGATGATACGTTTGTTTTTACTCAAGTGTTCCGGTTAAGGGGCATAACTCTAACATATTTGTTCATGCCGGTTCAGAGTGGCATTTTTGAGACGCTTCCCTAATCTCATCAAGCAATCTCTAACAAGAAAAACAGAAACAGTTTAGGTAATCCCGTTATGTAATTCAGCCATATTACTCATGAATGTTTCATGACTTATCAGATAATACGATAAAGATGTATACAATAAATGTGGACACAACTAATCTACTTTTATTTGTTCCTGTGCTTAGGTATGCTTTATGTGTCTTTTTACTTTTGTAGTTTTGCGACATTATCCTGTCTGGCTTTTTACATATATGTGTGTATCTTTTTGTTTGATTTTTATTTATTATTTGCTACCCATCTGTATTTTCATTTAATCTGTTGCATGATTTTTTTTTACTTTGGATAACCAGCAGTATTACTTCTAACATTAATTTCCTAGTCATAATTTTATTTTCATCGTTTCTCAGTAGTTTTAGCTTACACTATATTAGTGTATATCATGTCAATTTTTACACCTTGCTATATTAGCATGTATGTATGTTACACCGCCTTTGGTGTTTTACTAGTATATATATATACAGAAATACTTGAGTGATATTCTAGTTTTCTATATTATGTTACGTAAACCTCACGTTTATTGTTCTCCTCTCTGTCCTAACTATTATATACTGCTGAGTTATCTTGTCAGTCTTATGTTTTACTAATTGTGCATGCTAGTCTGCTTTCTGTGATATATGTCTATAATTCTTATGTCCCATTTATTTACTTGACATGTTCTGTTTTTATGTTGTTTGTCGCAGAAATAGCGCTACAGCGCTAATGTTGTCTCTGTTTTATATGTGCGACACTAAATAAAGTTTCTTGAATCTTGAATCTTGAAAGCTGTTCGGCGTAATCTGACCGGCTGCTTTGTGTGAAGTACAGTATACCTGTAGCACATAGGTATGATATTTAAAGGCTGTTGTGAATGTAGCAGTATATTTTAAAACTGCATTTACCTCTATCATTTCTATAAAATATTTTCGTAATAAAATTGTGTGAAAGGTGATAGAAACCAAGAAAGTAAAATCTTGCTTGGTACACGAATACGTCAATATAGCGTCATGTTAAAAGCAATCTTTACAAATACTGAAAATTGAACGAAACATGAAGAACGCTTTGTTTGGAAAGGGCAATTTCCCTTTCCCTTGTCGAATTTATTCGTAGGTTTGGTAAATTAAAACATCTCGCGACCCAAATTGGAGTACTTTTCGAAGAAAATTGTAAACAATTTCTACCGAGTAATTTACAAATAGATAAGTCGACTTTCATCTCATGCTTCAGTAATATGTCAGCTGCGCGTATGTCTAAAAATAGAGCGCAACATGGCTTACAAACTGAGAAAGCAATGCGTTTCAACAGGTAAGAGTACACACAATGTTCGTTTTTTTAGAAATAATTAACATACTCTGAAATATTTGTTTTCGGTTTATAAAACTTCACTTTCTCATTAATTTTAGTCACACTTACCTATAAAAATATTCATTTCAGCAATACCTTTCTGTATCTCCCTCCCCCCTCCCCCATTTTTTTAAATAGAGATAGCATTAATTAATTAATAACATAGAAGACAAACACTGATAAAAAAAATATCAAAGTTACTTAAACCTTGCTTGGAATAGTCATTATTCATTAGTATAGTAAAAAAAATTCTGCGTGAGCTGTTTGAAAAAAAGTTCCATTTTCGGTACGTTAAGAATAAGTACTTCAAACAGAGAAAAACCCAAACAAATCGTGATAATTCACATAGAATAAAATATTTATGAAGGCAGTTAAAGTTAACAACCCCATTGTAATGTACTAAAATAAAACAAGCCAATTATATCAAACATACTACTGGTTACATGTAGGATCATAATGGATATAGACTTACAGTTGTTACACATCTGGAACTGTAAAGGCTTTATAGACACCATGTCTTGACTTTCTATACCATTTGTAGGTCAGTCTGGCTGTCCTGAGAATCTGTCCTTAATCTTCTTAAGAACACATTACAATTTCAATGTTTAGTTAATGACTGAAATCCTTTGCGTGCAGACGGTCATTTGGCTTGTAAATAGTAATAATGACGGCGCGAGCCCTTGATCCTAGTAGGATTATCACGTGTGTAAATGTACACGTGTATCGGGTGCTTACATGATGACACTGATAAAGTGGTGAACAGATTGCGAAACATTTCTGCGGCTGTTGGAAAGTTGAAAATCTTCTGAAATTTTTATTATAGTGTGAGTGACCCACTTTGATGTATCAAATCAGTGTACCTAATATTCAGTCTCAAAAATAACATCTCTTTGTCCTCCTATTATGATATCATATAAACTGATTTCATCTTTATTATCGGTTTGGGGAGTATAAAGTTGCAAATGATAAAAACATGGGGAAAAAAGTTGATAAAATAATGACAACTATTCAATATGTATGTGTTTTCAGAGATTCTTACAATTTTCCGTGGGAGATAAAATGCAGTCACAACCTGAATATTTCGGGATACTATTTGTCTTACACAGTTAACATTGAGCAGATGTCGACTGTAAACGTCCCATCCGACTGAATCCTAATAAAGTTCGACGTACAAGATAAAATAAGCAACGGTGACACGCCGATCGGGAGCAGGCCTAATCACCAGCCCGCAGACGTGATATGGGGTTTATCGTGTAATGGTTTCTATCGAGGCCGACTCGCGAGATCATCGATTTCTTATTATTTTGAAAGCAATACCAAGTTTTGTTTTTTATTGTTGACATTTGGATATAATATATAGCCCATCTAACCGCATAAACCTTTACCATGTTACCATATGTAATTCCATTATTTTTTATGGCGAGTCTCTGTTGGGCATGTGACGAGCAATCTTTAGATTTATGTGTATGGTATTTAAATATTATTCTTGGAAGGCTAGAATAAGAGATCGGCCGATTTGCTGATATTGTATCATAAATAGGGGTCGTACATCCCGAAGGAAACAGATGTACCCCGGGAAAACCCAAGTAGTCGAGCTGGTAACCCCGGCCTTTTCACGTTCAGGGAATCGAACCCCGGATGGCTAGGTGAAAGGCGAACGCGTTACGACTGCGCCACAGGACCACCGAAATGTGTTTATATGCTCCACCGTCAGAAAGTAATCCATGAAACGTGTAAGTGGTAATCACCGACAAAAACTTCAATATTAACCATTATTTTATAAACAACAAAGGTAGCACCTAACCTTTCCCCCAGAAACAGAAAACATCCCACGTAACAATTATTCTACGTGCAAACACTGCACATTGAAACTACACAGGGACCATATCGTCCCAACTGCTATGTTCCAGAGCACAAAGAAACCATATTGTCAAGACTCCCTCAGTTTCAGTGTACAAAGACACACAAGTGAACAGCATCTTTGAATAAAAAAATAGAATACAAAATGGTCAAATAATGAATTAAACTGCATCATACAGCTGTTTCATCCTTCTAAGACTGGTCAGTGATGCTAAGGACCTAGATATCACAGACTTAGCTCTCAGTGTACACAGAACACTAGACTGTTTAGACTAAGTCCCAGTGTACACAAAGACGGAATGAGTTTTAGAGTACGTAGAAACAATTTGTGTAAGGTCCAGTGTATAAAAATACTCTGAATGACTAAATTCGAAAGTAAACCGGAAAGAATATTGTCTAGACTAAGTTCCAATGTCTGAAGGAACAAAATGTCCAAATTGAGTTAAGTGCACACAGAAATTGGATAGAGTGAGTGACGGTGTACATAGAGACTAAATTCCAGAGACATACACTATATTCCATTGTACAAACAAAACTGTCCAAGCTCATTAAGTTCAAGTCTACAGTGAACCCAAATTGCCAAGATTAAATGATATCCAATGAATGCAAAGTCTGACTACACAGAAACCAAATTATTTACACTGATGAGGCACTTAGCATGGACAGGAATGGCTCATCAAGTTGATATTACGAACAAAAAACCTTTGTTTAACGGCTTTCATTTTTGCACGGAAAAGGAACACGCTCGGAAGAAAATTACATCTCAAACATAAAAGTCTTACATAATTTTTATGTTTTTTTTTTATTTTTATGATCTATGCATTTCGAGCGACGTAAAAGCGCCAGTGTTGGTCTCACTAGGATTCATCCAGCACATATAGAGTGGATTAATTCATTTAGACACCATAAAAGTTTGATATCTAATTTGTAATCCCTCCTAGAACAAAAAACATCCAAATAATACTATGGAATACACGACTCAGACTTAACATCAGGGAGCTATCTAAAGCAACTTTTTTCTTAATGCTAGACAAAGAATGGTTTTATTGGAAATAATCAAATCTCAGATTTTCTCTTCAAAATAAATCTTTATTTTCGAGTAGTAACTGTAAATTTCCCCATGGCCTTGGTATTTTGTATTGAGCGAATTGATCGTCTGTAACCTATAGTACAAGTTCCCTGGTATATGTCAAACTAATAGATTGATTCTGACAGTGACTTCAAGCCGCCTTCAATAATTAGCCTATTCTGTTACCGGGCCATGTTAATGCTGATAATCGGGTCATGCTTGGTCCCTCGTGATCGAACTGAAGCCAAGAAAGTTATCGCATTAACAGATTGCCAGACTTGAATAATTATCCCAGTTGTATCATTTATCCTATGTTAGGAGAGTCCTTGCTACAGTAAATGAATCATTTAGAATATTGTTTGAAATTTTTGACATGTGAATCTTTCTCAGTAACTCTAAAATTGACCGAATTCATTTGTATGATATTTTGCATTACAGGACCAGACAAACACAATCTTTGCTCCTTTGCTTCATCTCTTCAAAATCATTTCACTATTTCATATTCCATTTATTAAAATCATCATTTTGAGTCAAGTTCGTCTGCCTTGCAGACAACACGTAAAAGTTTT